GTGTAATGACGGTAGATGAGAGGTTGCTGAGGAACAGCCGAGGTTCAAAATCAACACAGTCACAAGAGACTATACCGTAGATTTCATAACGATTATCAGTGAAACCTGACAATTTAAACGGTCACTATAATTCGACTCTGTGAACTGCATCACCAAGGCTTTCGATTTCGGCCAATCACAATAATATTTGAAAATGGCGTTTGTGGAAAGATTGCTTACGTTTGCATCAAGGTCATATTCGTAGTTTTGCAATACTTTAGCAATTAGGCATTGGTTAGTGTATCGTAGAAGGAAGTATTCTTCTCAAAATATACGTATTAAGTACGTATTAAAGGTACATATTTTTATACCATATTCCTCCTTATTGCACTCTGGTCGCCCGACGTTGCCTGTGCAAAGATTCAAAAAATACATAATCTTGTTTATTTGTTAGGCATAGAGCAGGGTTTTAAAATTTTTGGGATTTTAGAACTCATTTTCCACATGACTGCAATAACTACATTTTCTGTTCAGGTTCAACATCCAGAAGGGCTAATGCCAACTCATAGAAGAACTGCAAATTATGGAAGCCACCAACTGGAAAAAATTATCAACCTCGCTTGCATCTTGTGAACCTCGGGACTCCAGAGGATCACACAACTGTTTCGCAGAAGGACACGGGTAAGCTACAGCCACTCACGACCTCAACTGACATCCAGTTTCGGTCCCCTCACAAAAGATCTGTAGGCTGGAGTAAGGGAGTTTGGCTGAACCGAATTTTCTAACAGGGAAAATATTTTTCATATTTCCTGCGTCTATCAGGGTTACCTGTGTCTGGAAGAGAACAGAGTCACTACTCACATTATCCTGGAATCTAACCCTCAATATGCGTCTAAACCAACACTGCTCTATGCCATTCCACCGCCTTGATTCTTTTCGCTCACCTGATAGAGGCAAGATAGAGACTGGTGTTAATGGTTCGAAAATACTCCTTCCTGTGTTAGTCCAAATTCTGGACGTTGTTAAAATCAATCGAGTCTAGGGTGATTCGTTGGACCTGAGGTCAACCTCCTGAATCTCTTTGCATATCTCATCTACTTGCATATCTTCTGTGCTGGATTGATTTTTCATATTATCTTATTTCTGTATTGTATTAAGCAAGTGGTCGGCGCTGATAGCTGCCTAGCGTACGGTAGTCGTCTGCTGATGACGAACTTATTTCACTACTCATCCGAAAGTATCATTTGAAACACATGACTTTTCGCAGCACATCATTTAATAGTCAGTGTCTTGCAACAGACAGCTGTCCAACATGGTTTTTGACTAAAAGGTTTGATTTATTCTCGAAAGAACTCTTGGTTCAGTTTGCATTCAGTTTTTGCAGGTGCGTACAAGCATGCAACAAACGAGAACGTCCGCGTCCCCGTCCACG